CGCCTACTTGGAATTTCCTCTTCACTCTAGATCAGATCTAATAGTCGGCAAATTACGATCGTGAGAAAAAAAAACTTATTTTTCTGTGGCTTGCATAATTATACTATTATTAAATTTAAATTGAATAATTACAATTATTATTATTCGAATTTTATCAATAAATATTATATACTTTTCTTGGCTCACAAAATTTAAAATACTTGTTACTGTTGTGGCTGTTTAAATAAATAAATGTGTCCCTTGCCATAGAATCATTCTTTTAACTACAATTCACTACGTAATCAATACTAGTTTCTTTTTCGATCTCTAAAATGGAATAAATTTCACCAATCATTTATTTATTAATCATCTCTCGGCTAATAAAATAAATGCAATAATAGATTAAAAAGAACTGCTAGATTTATATGGAACTGTAATCAATGGTATGACATATCTGATAAATGATATATCTAAATTCAATCCTGACCATTTGTGGACAAGTCATGTGGTGAAACTGTTTTAAATGACCGACTTCTTCAATTTATTACTGAGCTTTCGCAATACTTAATTAATTGACTATGCGCCACAATTCATTTTCTAGGACAATTTGCATCATTATTGTATCATTATGCTTCTCATAAGTTGTGCAAATGTTATTATTAGCAATTACGTACTGAAAATGACTTACAACGAAAGTCGAAACGTTTATATTTTTGTTATAAAAATAAATTTATACGCACGTAATCTTCTTGTGTTGGCTCTTATAAGTATTTTCTAAAACTTTTAGAATAAATTTCACTCTTAAAAATTTAAAATTGAGCCACGTTTTTTCAAGGCCGGCTTAATTTTCAACCTTTAAGGTAAGATTCCACTTCTAAGAATTTATATAGAGAAAGCTTTACATTCTTTTCATTTATATGGTTCAGAACCTAAATCTATCGTTTGATAAACGAGTATAAGTGTTTAAAAGTGACCCAAGTCGTACTGCAAGTCATACTCTATATGAAGACGACGTTACAACCTAGTTCTCGCTAGCAGAAAGTTCGGATTACAATGTGTACATGGCCGATAAGTGTCGCGATATCGATCGTTTTGTTATCCATTGCAGACACAGAAGCGCAATTTGCGAGTTCTAATCCGGCAGCAATAGCCCGTGCGTGTATCTGTAAGCCGAACAATGTCGAGTTCGGCAGGACGATATGCAAATAGCTACAAGCAACGGCACAGCAATCGGCCTCTAATCTGGCGGGGTGAATGGTTAATGCCTTACGGTACCGCAAACGATACCACACGCGTGTATCAAACGGAAAGATTGTGTTATTCCGCACCAGTATTACCGTTACATGCGATCCTTTCTCTATTTCGCTGGTCTATTCGATGAATTTGCCCTGACCGCGAGATTGTGCGAAAACTTCGCATCGGAAATATCGCAACTTCTCTCGTATCGTAGTCGAGTTGTTATCTGCAAACTACCTCTATTCTGATTGGCTTGTGAATCACCAGTATTACCATTAGACGATCATCATGGGAGATATATACTGAAAGTATCACTTTTCCTGTATTCATTTCTTATCTGTGGATTCCTCGATTAATTCAAACGCTGTATTATTCGCTTATAATTTATTATATTTTATTAAATGAAAAATAAGTAATTGTTATTTTTATTTTATAACGTACTGTTTTTTTAGTTCAAGCTATTGTTATTTACTTTTGTCTTTTAATTTACAAGAATAAACTTTTATAACTTTTAGTGACCTTTATCTCGACATTTTCTCTATCAGGAAAAGCTTAATTTTAAATCAGTAATAATCTCGTAGAGATGGAAAAAGAAGTGACGAAATCGAAAACAACTCGTAAAGCTTCATAAGCCGCACGTTTGCCTTGTTTATCTGTAATATTCTCATGCAGCTTTATGTACGTTTAAAATACTACACAGCACGCTTCTAAATACGCGATTGATAGAAGTAATTAATTTTATTTAGACATGGATTATCAAAGCCGGGCGCGTAACTGTAATTAACGACTAGTCTGTCGTGCGCTGTTTGCGCACTTGTGCGAAACCGCAGAATCGATTAGTACCATTAAAATCATTAGACGTGAAAAAGATCGAACACGTATCTACCTGGCCAGCGTGGTGCCATTGCCATCGGGTTGTAATACCGTTTAGCGAATGCACGCCTGCAGGCCTGTACGTATATCAGTTTCTAATCTGTGACAGAGCACGCGGGACATGTTTCGTACGAGGGTCGTGTGCACGTAACGAAGCGTGTAGGTACGTTGCACGCGCGTTCATCGCGCCACGCATATAATTATGCACGCGCGCGCGAATCCTGAAGTCCTCTCAGAATTATTGCGGTGCGTTCGCGTGTGAATTACCGCTCAAGCATCCCTCAGTGGATAATACAAATGGAGGAATTCAGGAATATTGCTGTAATGTATGTCGCTTCCCATACGTAGCATTCATCGACCTTATTTCTCGTAAATGAGCAATTAGGATGGCTAAAATTGTACTGCGTGTATATATATAGAATCGTAATAATCACATGAAGAGGACAATTTTGCTAAAATATCGAAACATTTAATTGGGTATAGACTCAACAATAATTTTGTTGGATCATCAAAATAATTACGTAGTAATGTCAAGCATGAAGAGCAATGCTGCAAAAAGTTTTAGCAACTAGTTTGAACGTCCTACATAATTATTTTAACTAATAAAATTGTAATAAAGTTTTTTTCGCTATCTAACTAAATTTTTAGGTACCTACTTCAGTAAACCATCCTTTCCGTGCAGTGAAATAAATTCTTACGTAATTATCATATATTTCTTTATTCTCTTTAATCGATCCCAGACAAAATAAATCAATTCATTAAAATGCCATTCTTGTGGATTTAACCAGATCACTTTTTCAATGTGTGTATATGAATGCATGGCTGTTTTTAATATTAGAGGTTATAAAGAAGGTATAAAAGTATTTTTAATACGTTTGATTATAAAGGAGTAAAAAATATTAATATTAAAGGTTATAAAGAGGAATATAAATAAAAACTTGCGACATACAAACATTTTACAATATTTTTCTAGGGAAGGAATTATGTGATTTTGGATTAAATATAATATATCGCTGAATTATTTGATACTCTCTTGAATAACACCTTGTACTTCAAGACAAACTCAACCCGGAAAAGATAGAAAAAGAATTCGTATGAAGAAGTATCGTGCAGAAAGGCGCGTCTCAATTGCGTTTTGAATTGAGAGAGCTCTCAAGATCCAGACTAATAACACTCGAGGGAAGTTGCGTAAAGGAGAAGCGCGATATGCAAATGCAAATATGGTTTTCCAAGCGTCGTCGCGCGGGTAGTGTGTGTTGTGACTCATCGGTCAGTCTCTCTTGTTCTGTCCTCATCCCTCGACCCACGCGACCTGACCATTGACCAACCCACAACTCGTTGATTCGCTTCGTACTCATCCGTGGCGTATTAAAATAAGGAAACACTCGCACTTGTAAACCGATTAACTTACACCAGCAAGCGTGCACATTCAATTGCATATACGATCGCAATTGCAGGAAAGCGATTGATGCAAAATCGATGCTCGCAACTAGAGAGTCAACTACAGCGCTAAAAATGCTCCAGATCGTCGTTGCAGAGTGCTTATTATATGCGCGTGTGTTGGCTGTGAACGTTAGTAACGACCGAATAAAAGCAGCATAACCTCGAGAATCGCTCGCAACAGGTGTATGAACGTTACGTAACGTAAATACCACGTGGATGACACATACAATATATGTATACGTATACAATGAAGTTCTTGGACAATACGTCAAAGAACTCTGTCTTATCTACAGATCAATTTGCAGTAGAAAGAGATTCTTCTTCTCTTCTAGAAAGAATTAGTAAAATGTAAGATCTTATAACAAGTTCGTAAGATTTTTGTGAAATTAATAAATTTCTTGTAATAATAATAATTTTGTTATCAAATTAGATAATACTAAGAAAATTGTTATACTTATTTTCATCATATTTTATTGTTATTCATATTTCGTTGTTATTCGTGCAATTATCATTCCGTCCATTGCGCCAATATTTGTCAAATCAAATCTGATCTGTCATAAAAGACGACGCAACAATTTACTAGACACGCATGTTAAATTACCGTTATTTTCTCGTTATTTGTACAAGAATTTTCCACTGCTGTCGTACAGGTTTTCAGCTCGATGTCGCGTAGTGCAATCGCACCGCGCACGTATCGTTGGCCGAGCTCATTATGCTCGATTATCATACTCTATGACAGGTATTGCAACGGTATATATACACGGAACGAACGGTTTTGCTAAGGTAAGTTTTCTAAAAGTTTAGCTACAAATCTGAAATTAATTTTGTTGGACTATTAAGATAATTATGTAGAACGTTTAAACGTTAATGATAAAGCTTTAATATAGAAAACATTTAACATTCTAGCAACCAGTTTGATAGGAAAATTGTATATAATTATTTTAATCATATCCAAACAAAATTATTTTTAGATTTATATTCAGCTAATTTTTAACTTTTTACTTGAACGAAACCGTTCTTTCTATAATACATATATACAGTAACATGGCCAACAAATATTAAAAAAGTTGTAAAATACGTAAATAATTAGATTGCCAGACTAGAAAACTTTATAAATAAAATAAATTCTTTTGTTTTCATAAAAAGAAGATATTTATTTAATAAAAATAAATTAGAATTATTTTTAAAATAAATTATAACACTATTTTTTATCTAAAGTCTTTTGTTCCAAGACAGTCTTTCAATTCTCTATTGTTTTATTTTACGTCAAATGACATTCTTATTTAGGAATCAGCTAATCGTATTTCTCTTGCGAACCCGTAATTAACCGTTGCGTTAATTAAGTCTCGGTAGATCTATGTCTTTATCTTAGCGCCTACGTCAGTATTACCGATCTTAAACTCATTCGCAATTCCGACAGCTGCGATCAATTAACGTGATTACTTGATTAGCATAAGATCGAAACTCACCGATGCCAAGATGGTGACGAGATAACGCTGAGTCCTTTCGTAGTCGAGCGTTCGATTGACCGTGACCTGTCCCTGGTGCGGCAGATTGATGCTGAAATAGCCGTATCCGTCGACAGTGGTGATCCTGTTGCGTCCGACACCCTCGTTGCTACCAATCCTGCTGCCATCGCCAGGCGCAATCGAGTACTCGACGATACCATTGACACCGGCGTCGGCGTCGATCGCGTCGACGTTCTTGAAGATCGTCGAACCGACCGGAGTGAGCTGCGAACAAAACAACGTGTAGCATTATTTTTTATGTATATAATATAATATATAATATATAATATGATACATATATAATAATATCATATATTATATATTTTCAATATAAAGCTGCCTCTACGTAATTTGCAAATTGCAAAACGTAGTTCATAAATGCAGATGAAGAAAATAATACCGTATGCAAGATGCACGCAAATGCAAACCAACCACATGCTATGAATTGAAAATGTCAACACGACAGCTTTGACATTTTAAAACGTGGATATTTTAGTTAGGTTAAAGGAACTTACTATGTGTCCGATGTTTACGGATCTTCATTTTGCGTCTGCGTTTACGAGCTACGTTTTGCGATTTACGAATTAGAGGCAACTTAATAATTCATCTTTCGCTAAAGAGGAAATGCACGAGGCAAAGTGGAAATCGCGACTTTCCTTCCGCGCCTCCAGCTGCGATGAGAAATCGCAAGACGATATATATTCCTTGGAATCGAACGGGATTAAATTTATGCGGCACGCTTTACGCGGTTTTAGAGGGATGCTAGTTAATTGAAGGCCGACGGGGTCAGACACGAGTCTGGTCGTCGAGGATTAATAATTCGACCGGGAATACACCGCGAGTTGGAACAGGCCAAGCAGGTTGTTCGCGCGGGATGTGCAACCTGCGTGCGCGAGAGGATCTACTGAGTATAAGGGCGAGACCTTGTTGGGGATTACTCGAAAATAATTCAAAGGCTTTTTGCACCGACGAAAGTCGCGCGCGTTTCCGATTAATCCGTGGAGATAAGTCGGCGACTACTGTGCGGCGCGACCGGAACGCGTATTCTCGTTCACGGCGATCAGCTCAGCTTCTCGTTGCTTCGCGCCAATATTCGTTGTACTTTCGGACTTATCTAACGGGATCAGGAACCTCCTTCAAAATACTGCGCTCAGTCAGCGTGTCTATTTTAGAATTCTGTTATACAGTAGAATAACACAGAACTCTATTTTAAAGACTGCTATTCATAGAAATTTCTACTTACAGAAATCGCCACGTCTACGAATTCCGTACTTCGTAATAAACGTAACAATAAGAACGGCTTTCTCTTATAATACAGGTTTTTTTTAATGATTCAACAGCCTTAACTTCAACTGTAGTAAATGTAACGTAAGAGAATGAAGACAGCGAATGGTATACATTCGTACAATACTTGAGAGGAGAGTTAATTAACAAGTCCTCAGGATTAAAAATAAGCCAACTAAATGATGTTCCCACGGAAACAATTCAAGCAGAATAATCCTGGTCATTAGCCACGGCTATGATGGCGAGGAAGTCGTCGCTCCTCGCTTACTTAGCAACACGCAGTTAATTTTCAGCTTTTTGACGGCGCTAAACGAGCAAAGGTAAGAAAGCGAAGGTGGACCGTTTCCGGCGCTCGCAATCATTTTGTTATCCCGAAAGCGATTATCACCGCTTGTTCTCGCTTGTTCTCGCATGTTCTCGCGACAGTACTGGTTGCCTGCCGCTCACTGCGGATTAATTAACTCAAGCGTGAGCCGACGATCTTGATCTCGATCTCTCAGAAGAACTCCCGCGATTCTGCAATTATGCACGGCAGGTGGAGCAGAGGTTGCGCTCTCGATGAGAATACAATTTTGCCGGTTTCCACGGTAAGATTTAATACAAAAGCTCCATTAATTAGACGATAATCCAGAACCAGTCAAGATTATCTTCGCAGAATCGTCTCAATGCAGCCTGAATCCCAACAATGATTATTTTGATGGTCTATAAGGAGAGGAGATCCTCAAGAATCAAAAAGCAATACGAAGATTTAATTTTTGGAGAACTTAGAACGATTTATTCCCTTCGCATTCACAATTATCTCTCCTTTTAGATCTATTCAATACCTTTTAGATCTCAGAAGAAATACCCGGTACCAATGCGCATGTCATTCTCGACATAACGGATCACAGATGCGAAAGGGGAAAAAGATTGTCGCGATGATCGTGGCCCTGATCGACCATCAACGTCGGTCAATGTTCGGAATAGTTCCCATCCACTTAGCGACGTGACGAATCTACTTTCTTCGAAGACGCACGCTGACTCGACGATAGAATGGGATAATAAAGCGTCCACACTCGCGTCGATGACTAGCATTCGACACACTTTTAATTTCTGTAAAAATTCCGTCACGCATGGAAAACGTCCGCCTTGACGAAAGTCGCGGCACAACGCCGATGCTACGCTCGATCGAAGAACCGATGACATTCCGTGATGCATATAGGAACTTTAACTTCTTGTCGTGAACGCTATTATTTTTCGACGAAGTCTCATAATATTCCGATAGCAATATATGTCTTTATTTCCTGCAACGTTCAATTAACGCTCATTTTGCCGGAATATAATTATCAAACTTTCGCACAGCGTTAACTGCAGTCTGTTATCCCTCCATCATATTTAGACGCATAATTATACGATACGCAGCCCATTATAAGTATAAATTTCCAACTGCGCATGCATACCATAGGTATATCGTAGCGCAACTCATTATAGGTATAAATTTACTGTAGCGCGGCGCATACCGTGAATTACCGCGTTATGTCCGCATTTTCACGCTTGATGTTCTATTATTTCCTTAATATAAAACGCATTTTCCACCCACCCGATCTGGCAGTCTCGTCCGTTTTACTACAAGCGTGAGGAATCAATTGTCAACAGGACTATCAATTGAAGTTAATTACGCGAGTTGAAAGATGATCGAGCGATATTTTACGATTGCGCAAGCATATTCGATTATAAGCTAAAAAGAAAACCAGAGCTTTCTTTAAAGGAAGGAAACTCCTTTAGACTCTTACCTCCGGTACAGTGGTCTCATACGGCGTGTTAATGAATTTTGGCGCATTATCATTGATGTCGGACACTCTCACTATCACCGGGATCATCCGCTTTTTATTGGTCAACTTCACTGTGCAGCTCAACTGAAAAACAAATAAATATATGTAGAAAGCGAACATAAAAAACTGGCATTAAATACTTCTTTAACCATCGTTAAATGAAGGGCTATGTGAAGTTGGCCCCCCCACTATTGCAAATCTAAAAATGACCATGACCATTCGTTTGGTGGTCGTTTGATGGTGTTTGGTAGTCCATTCCGGACGTTTGGTAGTCAAAGATATAATGAGAAACGTCAAAAAAAGAAGAACGCGCGTGAAGTTAGCCCCCCCATTTCTAAAACTCGGCTTTGTAGACTGCAAATGCAATAATGACCGTAAGCATTCGTTTGGTGGTCGCTTACTGACGTTTGGTAGTCCATTCCCGATGATTGGTAGTCGAAATTATAGGGCCAACTTCACATAGCCTAAATGAAGACTAACTGTTACTGAAGGAAAACTTCATAAAAAACATTTTGATAAAGATATATCATATAAAGAATTTACAATATAAATGTGTGTGTGATATTAATAAATCAAACCCATAAGAAGAAGGCATATTTTAGAATGCTAAAAGAATATATGTTTTCTTGAGACTAAAATTTATATTAGTTTTACTTTTTTAAGAACTTTTTGAATTCAGAACTGTGAAAATTAGAATTGTGTGTGTGTGTGTGTGTGTGTGTGTGTGTGTGCGCGCGCGCGCGTGTATGCGTGCGAAACAAAATTATTCCTAATCATTACTATTAAAAGATTATAGGAAAAGTCTCCGGAATCTGTATATTACGATAAAATATATTCTAATAAGGTAAGATAATTATTTTATGACTATAAAATTTCTACAACTTACAAATTGGATAACGTTTACTTATTAACGTTTATTAAAGATTACGTTAATATTTATTATAATTATAGGCAAAGTATAAAAAGCTATCTCTGAAGCGACCGGTATCCTTCGACCGAGTGAAGTAATAATTAATTGGTTTCACTCAGATTAGTTTATTTCGATCGATTTAATTACCATCCGTGTAGGTTTCCATAAATTAATCGAAATGCTCCGCATTTCTGTTTGAATCGAACTTATCTCTACATCTCTATCTGCATTTCTCGGTCACGGATCTGATCTACTCGTTTGATCAGTTTGTGAAGTGTTCGATGCGGTACTCTAGACCTTTCACATTCCTCACATGATAGTGTCATAAGGCACAATGTGTTTGCATAGTTTCGCGGATGCTGAACAAGTCGAGAGAGAACTTCTTCTTGAATTGCGAGCGCAATAATAAGCGAACAAATTAATTTTGCATAATTTTAAAACATTATTGTATAAATTTATTTAAGAAATATATAAACTAACAAATTTTTTAAATTATATTTATAATTTAATAAATCTAATTCTATTTAAAAAAAAATTAACTGTTTCTTTATTAAAAAATTTTGTATATAGATGTATTATTTATAAAAATTGACATTATCTTTATTCGATGTATAAAATGTGTTCCGTAAAAATTAACTTATTCTTTAAAAATAAAGTATCATACTTTTCATTTAAATTTTATAAAAATAAAGCTGTGTCTATTAACTATAGTGCGATTTAACAACTGATATAGGAAACCATTGTGAATTTTGTAACTTTCTTTAAGGGTTCTTGACAAGCTGCCAGCTTCCGCTTTCGCAGTAAGTTTGCAGCTCGTTGATGGTAAAGAAAATAATAAAACATTTTACAGACAGGCAAGAGATCCTCTTAGAAACGGAAGAAGTTTTTTGCGTAGAAAGGCGTTGTTTTAAAAACGTTAGGTGCTTGCGAGATGAATTAGACGTTTAGACGTTTAATGGTCGGTAGAAAAAGAAAAAAATTCACTTGAAAGGAACCGAACAATACAATTTGTATTGCAATCGTGAAGACTGTAAGAAATATTGACACCTCGAAGTGAAAGTTATTATTCTTCTAATATTTGTAGTAGAATTGAAACGGATAATAATGATACATCTTTCTCTATAAGTTGCCTCACCTTCTGCATTATTTTCATTTTCGTTATCATATATTATCCTTTGTTGTATTCGTTCGTTTGAAAGTCTCAATAAGAGCATTGCATTTACCCTATATTTCCATCATTATATTCTTTTGCAATATCTAATCGACAATATTGAGGACGGTGAAAATTCCGATCGAACAAAAACGAATAGAGAAACGAAGGCTGTCGACGAGTTGTCGTAAAGGATAATAATCAGAGAGTGCAAATCAGGTGCAGGAAGCTAAAGTTTCTGCGCGTAACGAGTTTCTCTCCGCACATCTTCCTTATTTATTATCGGAAATTCCCGTTGTCAATGATTTTCGATGTGGCAATTTGTCTCGCAGTGGTCTCCAGGTGACTCTATCGTTAGAAAGCAGTTAAATGATATTCCATAATTCACATTGCGTCGATGCATTGCTCGTAAACTTTCTCGGGTGAACGCATAAGGAAGAAGACGTGCACGAACTGATAGTTGCGCGTGCTGTAAATTTTTATCTAAACTTTCAGCATTTGCACAACGCATTCTTCAAATTTCTCGAATGCAAAAGCAATCTCGTGTACTCAAAAAATACATCAATATCATAAATATCGTTTTGTGCGCGCCTATAAATTACTGTGCATAAATATAAGTGTAAGAAAGCACATTAAATCTAGGCTACAAGTGATCTCAATCATTGAGGGAGTCTAAGAAGAAATACATAGAGAGAGAATGTAGCGCTACCGTTATAATAATGCACGCAACAATTTTTTTTAACGTAAGTACGTCTGTTCCACTTTTGAGCCATTATGAAACCATAACATTAGTCTATTACGAAGAATCTTCCTTTAGATAATAAATGAATCAGGCAGGATCTCTTGTAATCTTGCGAGATAAAATTTCTTACCTGAAAAACAACATGTGAGAGATTTTCGTCGTCTCTGTCCAATGGCTCGAGAAGCTGAAGGTTTTTGCCGTTCAATTTAAAAAGAGGGATCGTTCTTCCAGGAAAGATGAGCTCCAGCATAGTCTCGTTATAAGGATCGCCGGACACCGGAAGTTCTTCCGGCACGGTCTTCTGATCGATTGCTGAAAAGGGATAGCCAATGAAGACGATTACCGTCATGGACATCGATTTATCTCATATCTGGGACAGCGTAAATGAAATTTTCAATAAACTGGAAATATACGAAACTCCAGCAGGGCAGTATATATTCTCGGTCGTTTGTTTGAGATATCAAACGAAGAATAACCCACTTTACGATAATAAAAAAATTATAATTTCGAAAAATGACTAATAAATTATGGTTATCAAAGAAAGCGAGATTAAGATTTGTAATTAATGTATTTTATCAAACAATACAAAAACGTTACTTTTTGTAATTGTCAGTATCATGAAACATAATCTAATGATGATATGAATAGTCATTTCGAGGAAATTGTTTTATTACTTGTATAATATGATTTCTTCTCTCAAGCAAAGATCAACCCATCTTCATTCTGTATAATGAATACTATCTTGGCGAGCTGATGTCGATCTCAGGCAACATCTCATTAATGAAAGCCAATACAATTTAATTGCAACGTATTGACTATTCTACGTCTCAAATATTTCTTTTCTCTAATTTAAGTCATCATTCTTTATTAATGTAATTACTTTCCTTTAACCGAGAAACTAATTAAAATTTCTATTACTGTACTGTCAAATATCGTTTTTTAAAACAAATTTAACACATCGCTTTTTATACAATTTCGAATCTTGGAGATTTTCTTACTGAATTAAATTCGCTTTTCTCAGATCTTAATTTTAATCCATAAGGTTTTCGCATCTTATTTTCACTTAAAATGTATAAAAAAACGTGAGGAGCAATCGAAATTGTATTCACTTTTAAGCAATTGCATCAACTTCTTAAGGAACTGCATTTGCTTTTAACCTTTAGAGAAAAATTAAATTTATTTTGAAAATTTCTTTTTCTTAAGTAAGATTTATTATAATTTATTATTTCATGGTGTATTTCTTATTTTAAATTATGACACTGTTTCACTATAATAGCTTTTCCATTCTCTAAAGATTAAGAAACAGTTTAAATTAACTGATAAGGGCGTAATAAATCTGAGTGACGGATAAAGAATACAATCCATCTTTATTCCTTCCAGTCTTTTGTTATGAAATGATAATCCATTTCAGATTTAATGCATTATGCGCGGGTAGGGTAAATTTATTATTCATTTGTTCAGAACACAATAACGAAATTACTTCTCGTCGAAATAGAGTATTTCATCGATAAAATCATCGTGCATTATGTATACGGTAGAGATCGAAAAAAACGAAGTAGGTCTTTTAGATCTTCGGAACGTACAAGATGAGTCTCGAGAATATTAGAAATTGATTCGGCTTGATTTCTACAGTTATCGGTCAACTCGATCATCCGCTAAACGTAATTTCCGCGCGTAATGAGACGGAATTGTGACAGTCACAATCTTGAAATCAAATATTCTCGAGGAATGATCTATTTGTAAACATAACACGTAAATTTATTGGAAACGTATTTACAACACAACCAATGCAAAGTATACAATCAAATCTGAAATTGAATAAACTCATGGCAAACCAAATACAGTTCGCGATGTGGAAAAATATAACGACACAATAGAAACAAAATAGGTGCTGCTTCCGCGCGCGCGGATATATAAATGTATATATTTTATTATCTTTTTTATTTTATATTCATGAAACAAATGATATAAAATTACCTAATAATTATATAATTATAAAACAAATAATGAAACAATAATATAGAAAGAGGTATAAGAAGTAAAGAAATCAGAGAAGTATATTTGTGATATAATGACTTCTGCACCTCAATTCAATCAGACATTAAATTTGCAAGTTTCTCTAAAATTCAAAATTTTTGAAGAAAAACGTTAAATGTTTTTTTCCTTTCAGGGAGAGAAATGTAGTATAAATTTAATTAATAAAAATATTTAATAAACGATAAATTAAAATAATGGTAAATGTTAACATATCGCACTTACCATTTCCTCTACTTTCTTCAATATCAAGAATGATATTCGATTGTCCTCCTTCCACTTCGCACAAACCTGAAACGTAAAAAATTAGAAAAATTAACGTTAAATTTAACTTTTTTTATCTTTAAATTGAAGTGTAAATTAAACACATTAAACTTTATTCATTTCATATTTGTTAAAGAAAAATTTAATTAATCAATATTTTAATTTAAATAATCTTAATAAAAGAAAAACAATATTTTTAATAATAGTTAATATAAGGCTCTATAAATATAAAACAAATAAAAAGGGGCAAAGAGCCGATAATATAACAAAATATTTTTAATATCATGAAATTTTATGCAAATTATCATCCTCGTATAAAATATTGCCGTCTTATACAGTCTCTAAAAGATTTAATGATTACTATTTATTATGTTTTTTATTACAATATGTATGCATTAATATTTTACATCATGGTAATTCGAAAAGAGATTTATTTTGTACTTATAATACAATATAAAATATAACATCTATAAATTAAAATGTGTATGTGGTGTGGAGGCTGAAACACGATGATCTAATAGCTATAGAAAGATATTAATGACATCTATTACTTATAATTACTCGTGTGATGATCTGTATAGCAAATATATGAACGCTTTTTCACGGACTTTGAAGTCTTTAAAGTTCATTCAACTAGTAAAGGCAATTAATCGAGCAATAAAGCGAATCGTTACAGCTGTACATATTTCTACGATAGGAATGCTATATCGTTTTTCGTGGCATGTAAGAACAGAATACTCCAATTTCGTTTGCGTGCTGGTAAAACTAATTGTAATCGATAAAAAAGCGCGAAGCAATTGATAGCCGTTCGTACAAGCAACACCCAAGGACTTTCCTCGTAGGTGCAAGTTAAAAATATAGACGATCTTTACTATTTCAGTGAATTTTAATTACGTAAAAATAATTTTAATACAGTATTTAATTTGACGAGACAGATTTAATCCTTCGTCTGCAATCATACTTTTATTTACTTCGTCTGCAATGTGTTTTTATTAAATGTGGAAGAAGTTAGGGTTACTTTTCAACATCTCTATTACATTACCAGTTTTTTAATAACATATTTTAGAAGAGGACACTGGATTTTTATTTTGGAAAAACTTAAGAGTAAAATTTACTTTTGTATAAAAAGTCTTAAATTGCAGACGTAAGAGTAAACGTTAAAAAATGAAAAAAAATATAAAGAAAACGGCATTTAATTCAATAAAGAGAAGATATCGTTTTTTTCTTGAAAATTTCGTAGACTCGAAAATAAACCTACTCGCACATAAACCTATACTCACTTCCCATCCATATGCTTGCAATTATGACACCCTATCGAGATCAGCACGCAACTGATGCGCAATTTCCGCGTGTCATTAATTCTGAGAGCTCACCAACACGCCCGCGCTCTCCCAGACAGGTGCGAGAAATCGGCATGGCCGGAAACGTGACGCGCAAAACGCTCTCATCAGGAAGGAAGATTCCTCGACATGAGTACGCCAGCTGTTATGAAAGGGACCGGTCGACGATTGATTTTTGTCGCGAGATCTTGCAAACCGGATAAATTAATCGGATTGCACGCTAACGAACACGAGAGTCTAATTACTGACACGCCATTATCGATGCATACGTGGGTTCATTATACGATGCAAAATGATTTGCGGCATAACATGATAGTCCTACGTTTTACAACACGCCTCGCGATCTTTCCTGACTTAATTATCCTTGTTAGTTAAGTTAAACGAAAGAGCAACATTACGGCATTAACAATTTCTTTAAGAGTTGAATTACCAGAGTCAAAAACAAATTAATATTTCTTATTACGTCGTATACGCGTTGCAACTTGATGCCGTTTATTTCATTTTATTATATCATCTTATAATCCTATTAGAACTTTTCTACTTTTTTTGACGATAGTTATTCTTTCAAAATAATTTTCTTAAAATTTTATATTATTTGTTACATATTTTCTTTGTGTGCTTAAAAAAAAAGTTCTAGTAAATCTAACGTTCCTGAGAAACCTTTGAATTAATAAAAAAGATTATGGAGGTGACCTCTTATAACGTTTTTAATATAACGCTTTCCATATTTTTTAAATTAAAAAAAATAAAATTATGTACTTTTAATAAATCAAAGATATAAAATGAACCCCTTTCATGTTGGCGTCAAAATGCATAATTATAATTTAATAATAACATCATTATTAAGCTTTCAATACATTCAGTGAAATATGAAATTAGTTTGACGGGTCCACACAATAAAGCTTTAAATAATAAAATAATTTATCGAGATATTAATTTAAAATAAAGTAAGAAAGTATTCAATGTGAATTTATCTCATTATAGAAAAAAATATTATTCATAACCATAATTATCATAGAAAGCGACAATGTATTTACACTATTTGCATTGTCCTAAATGTAAAAAAAATGCACAAACGCACTTTTATATATGAAAATATCGCTATCTGTAATTTCAAGTTTTACGTTTAACTTGTGTTGTAATGTGAAATAATAACCGCGGGAAGAGAGAGTGAATTATTCGTTGACCCAAACTCCGAAATACGGAAATGTATGAATGTGAAATTAGGAGCAAGCTTGTCGCGCGCGACGTCGACTTTGGCGCGCAAAGTGCCCGCGCGATTGAGCCAGACGCCAATGACGCCATCTAATAACGTATCAGTTACACCACAAATGGTGGATCGGCTGTGAAACAAATAACGTCGTGACTCTCTTTGGTAAGCGTAACCTTAGCGAAACTCGAAGTCAATCTCACATTACACCTTCTTACATTACTGTCTTTATACTTTCTTTCGATAGCTAATTAGCATGTGACACAGACGTTCGTACACTGACGATCAGTTAGGTGCACATTTTGCGAGATTTGTTTCACCGAAAAATGGCGCTAACGGCCAACGATCGACACAATTGTGTTTCCTTTCCAGATGTTACAAGTATCGCGTATTTGTGTATGTAACTCCAAGTTTCATAGTAACTTGCGTTGTAATACAAAATAATAACCGTCACAAAAAGGGAGCGGATAAATTATTCTGAATGCGGTCTGAAATGCGGAAAATAATGAGTGAAGTTAAGTGAAGCCCTACCGCGTCACTTGCTAAGTGATGTATAAACTATAAAGCTAACTTTATAATTTACAAATTATCTTTGTTATTTTTGCATTCCGTTGCGTTCATGTTTCATTTACGAAACGTCACAAATATGGAATGTATTGTAATTCCGTCCTTTTTTTACTTATCAAGTACGCGTCGCATGTAATTAACATAAAAGATATAAAAGAATATCGTGCTATATGATCGATTGTATTATTCTATTATAATAATTAATGCACTCAATGTCTTTTTCAGTTATGAGTGTCACAACGAACTAGCAACAGAGAATAACTCAACAGAGAAAGAACGAGCGAAGACCAGGAAAATATAGGATGACAGTGAAACTACTAGGTAAACATTTTATAATTTACTCTTAATTATTTATTACTAGTGGAAATAATTATTTATTACTAAATTTATAATTAAAAGGAATTTGAATTATTGGTTGTATAATGAACTTATAAAAGGATATCCTGCTACACAATTGTATTCGAGTAATTAATGCATGTTTAATATCTTTTTCAGATATGAATTCCATGAAAAACCAGCAAACACGAGAAAATGAGAAAATCAGGGAAATATAGGATGACGAGGAATGATCTGCTAGGTAAGCATGTCATAATCATAATTTATGGAATTATTTGTTACTGTTGGAAATAATTATTCGTTATTAATTTATTTACAATTAAAAGTAAAATTTGATATATTAATGGTATAATAAATTTAGATATTTATTATGCATTAACAAATAAAATTTCAATTTTGACGCCTATTTTATCAATGTAATTTTGCAGTTGTATTAATTTTTAATATTAAAATTTTATTAGCAAATGATATAATGGTAACAAATATATTTTAATTAATGTGCATGGATAAGTTTTATTATTTTAATTACACAATCGGTTTAATAATGTTTCTGAAATTGAGTAATTAATTAACCGTTCTAATTTTTAAAAAAGGATTAAACGCATTTGTATAAAATTTATTATTAGTAAAATTTGTTATTAGACATTTATATTTTATTACACATTTTATTAACTACGTATTTTTCGAATCTAAAATATTGCTTCGTTTTCTGATTGTGAGACATAAAAAAGTTACTAGTCTAAAATACCATTATACATATTACATTTATACTACATATTTTGTTAATAAAGCTACGTATTTTTGGAATTGAAACATATAACAAAGTTATAATACTTGTATTCTAATACTCTCAATTAAATGATATAATTATTCTATGTGACGCTATTTATAAAGCGCAGTATAGCTAATATAAAACGAAGTGTGCAAAGCGTATATTTAATATGTAATAATAATCTGTTCATCGAAATATGAGATAAAATATTCAGTATTTTATAGTATCATATTAAGAGATACAATGAATAAAGTTTTACTGGTAATGAGACGGTTGGTATGCAGCGCGCGGCATTGTTTTCGTCACACATTCAAGTGTTACGCCGCGCCGACAGTTAACCGAAAGGTCACCGCGCTATCATTCCTGTACCGACACAACCCCATCGAAAAGTACTTCAGCTAGTCGCTGTGTGTATAGTCGTAAATATTCTATTATGTCTTGAAATGTGATGCGATAAGCATTAGATAAATACTACAGATAGGTATCACAATGATACTAGATTCTTTATTATTCATTAAATTATTCGCTTTTGTAACTGATTGACTTTCGAAATTCACGCAACTCGTAAATGATCGTTTGTATGTGTCTTACATGACTTATACTTAGATAAGAATCAAAGTGAAAAGAGAATCCGAATTTTAATTAATTGCGTTTCGTTGCCACTTGCTTATCGGACGATAATTTATTTTTAAAAGCATACATGAAATTGAATGCATTTTCACGTCGCGTTTCAGATTATTCAATAATTTGAAAGTATCTACTTTATCACTTTCAATGATCGCTTTGTACAGAACACGAATGATATGCGAATCGTGTTGTATCGTATTTATGGCTTATATGACAGAATACGCAGATATAATTAGTTTCGCGCTCGATTGCGTTTTCGCGAGCGAGTATTGCTTCGTGATTGTATAATAAAGGAATGAGGGCTAAGAGGTTTAAATTCATCAGATAACAAAGTACCGGTGAATGTGTTCTTTTTTTTTATTTAAAGTGAGTTAATGGATCTGTGAATATATTGCAATTAGATTTCACATTCCATACGTTGTTTTGAAATGGATGAGCTAGAACAAATGGATATAAATATTTAATTCCGGAACACGCGCAATCATCTGTCGATCCATTGTACATATATGATTGCATATAGGTATATGAAAGTCATGAAATAAAACTGGTTATTATCAAGGTATTATTGATTGATTTAGTCTGTGTTACTATTGCGTAATAATGTTAAGATATAACTCGATTGATGTACATATCTCTTAACATTATTACGTAACAGCAACATAAAATAGTAATTATTAAAACAACAAACTATATTTTAGAATTTACAGCACATTTAAATTAACAGAAATATATGAAAAAAAGAAAAAATATATTTTTATAGCTAGAGTACGTTTAATAAAAAGTGATAAAACAAGTAATGTAGTAAATTCTGTAAGAAAAGTATAATCTTTTAATTGTAATGTCTATATATTTTTATTAAGCTCTATTCGTAGACAAGCTCAGGAAATGCAATTAAATATGATAGATCATATCATGAGGAAAGAATTAGTACACAATACAATTTTATTATTAGTACTATTTTTAATATCGATGTATATATATCGTAATTAATTAAATTTTCAGATTCAATATTTAAAAAAGTAATAAGAACTAAGGAAAGGAAAAGTAATACATATAAAAGGGCAAATATTTTAAAAATATAAAAGTTTTATTTAATTTTATTTTTTTTATGTGATATTTATATCTCTTATGGATGATAATGTATTGAAAGAAGATACTTATTGAATATTTATACTGTATACATTACATAAAATAATATATTATATTATTTATATAGAAAGTAAGAAAAAAAAATTTTTTTATTTAGGTAATGAATCTATGACGATTATATTACACATATAGCAAGTATATGAATGTCAAATTAAAACAATAAATTAGTTGTATATATATACATGTAATACAAAGGTATTACATTTCATAAATCCGTTATCACATGAATAGCCTATAACTAATTTTGACAAATTAATCTTGAAATCATCTCTTATTACTGAAGAAATATTCACACATTTCGTACTTTATAATAATAATTATTTGCACATATAATAACTAATTAACAACATTTATTTTAATAAAGAATCGATTTTACCTAAGTATTTTTATAGCCTATTCATTTATATTTAATTAGCAAATTGATTTTATTTTTTATCAACACTTACAATTAGTATTTATACCTTTATTTTACCATTTACATATGAGAAAGCATCTCTAACAGTTCTAATTAATTAACATAATTAATCAACTAAAATTTTGAATTTGGATAAATAATATATTCACACGATCTCTTCGCTCAATATCGCACATTCTCGCATGTCGTCGTTCGTCACATTGCGAAATCATGTAATTTACACAGGAACATTCGTCATCGTCCGACCAGTCACGCGCAACATTCCCTGCCGAGCCCTCGTAAAGTCTCCCCGCGTAAATCTTACGTGACAGCGGGCCACTACCGGCAAACCCCGATCATTTCTTCCCGCATAGAAAGTGATCACGGCATTAGAAAGTGCATACTATAGGAGAATGAAAGACATCGTGTCGATTGCGACCTATATCTCCCATTCGCGCGCGAACAACGCATCTTAGCTATTCTATGAAGAGCATTTAGTTATTCTAAATGATCCATTGATCGATATACGATCGTTTTCGCTTTGTTTATAATTTTGTATAATTTGTCAGCGACGTTACATATAGATTTTTATGGGTGTTTGAGATAAATTTAACGCTTTGTTCATTCAAACTTTGATAATCGCTTAAATCGTGAACGTATAACGTATAATATGCGTTGAAACCGAAGTATCGTGGAATCTGGCAGCGTGCCATTAACGAAGCTAGCTATAAAATAACCCGTGTATATATACGATCGAGTTCGGTGTCGTGGGAATCGATACTAAAAGTTACGGGCAGTGCTCTGTCGGGAATTTTTTTCCTCTTTTTCAACGTCAAATCCATTATAGAGAAAATTGTACTCTGCTGTGTGCGCACGTATTGGAAAAAGTTTCGTACCATCTGGATTTCCGCGAGGCTGTATAGTATGTGTGTATCGTCTTACGTAAAAGAAAACAATCTGTAACGGAGTGTAACGTGTAAACTAAAATGAAGTTAACAGCTGGGTTCGTATTGATTGAACAGTAAAAAATATAAAAATATCTAAAAAAATATATTTAAAAACCAAATATATAATTATTGCGTTTTATACAAAAGTGATGTAAGAAGCATAGTTGAAGAAAATGGACCTATTATTCGTATCAGGTATCTTTCAGGACAATGCAGGAAGCAGACGTTCATTAATTAGTATAGGTTATCTTTTTTGTCAGACGCTCGTAAAATATCACCTTCGGTTTGTGATGAATCACCACATTTTTTCACTTCAAGTTAAACCGTCGCTTTATAAATGCCGCGAGAACCGCGCCTATACCTCTCATCTACAGGCAAGGCGAATTATCACGTCGGAATGTACGTTTTATTCCGCTAAGCCGTCTGCACACCATTCTCTCTCGCGTATGTACCTACATCTTCTTTCTATTCTGCATACGTAGTCGTTCATCGTGTTTGCCATGGCTTACCAAGTTTATCGATTCCTCGTGGATCTCCGCAAAACTTGCATTTAACATTCTTCTTTTACGATCATAAAGTAAAAAAGAAGCCTATATTCGCGCATAAAACGAGAGTTGCATCGAGTACTCGCGAGACGTACGGATGATTAAAGCTTAATTACGTAACGGCGGTAAATCAGACGCGGTTGAGAAGCATGAATAATGCGGGCTCGCAATTCGTATCGATGTACGCGATGCAGATCGCTTCGCGATACGATAGTAAAAGCCATAGAACTCACACCTCCGCACGTGCCGTTGATCCGCGCGCGTTTATGCTCGGCGTCAACGATAAAACAGAGCTTACATCATCAACCGTGACATAAGTAATTGGCAATCAGCTGAGATAGATTTACGCGTGTGGGAAGCCACACAGTCCGACTGTGATTGACTTTTACGCGTCGTTACTTCATTTTATTCCATTCGTAACAGCCGAGGGAACGTTTCGAGCGACGTCTTTGCAGAATTTTTGAAAACAATTTTCAGTTACGTTATTAACCCTTTGCGATCTTACATCGTTTTTGACGTAATGCTTTGAAGTAGTTTATTGAATAACTTTTCAAACATTTAATTTTATTGTAATCGATAAACGATATTTTTGGTAAACTTAATAATTTTGAAGGAAATAATTCCTCAAAGAGGAAACATTCTTTAATTAATAAAAATTTTTTTTATTCATGTTAGACCAATCTGTTAACACCAGAAATACCGTCAAAAATTTTTTTGTTATACGACAAATATGTGCAGGACAAAGAGGTCCTTAGATCTCTCTATTCTATAGTCAATCAACAAGTTTGAAAAATTTGTCGCTAGACTTTGCAAGACAAAAACGTACCTATATGAAATAGCGGCCTCCGACGATTCTAGTATTAAATAAAATTGAGAACGAAATACTTGAGCTTCTTTTATTTGTTAAAAATAACTTGAATTGCGTGCAAAGGATTAATAGGATGTTGTCGGTAACAGTAAAAGAAATAAGCAATTGATTGCAGTGATTACTTACCGACTTTAGAATGAACGTTCCTGAGATGTAAAATCACGCACATCACACACCAAAACCAGCGGGTCATTGTTCTTGCCTGCAAGGAGAAAGTATCACAATAATAATTAACCGCAATATTATACTATTTCAATTAAAATGCATAATGTAAGTAATAATATAAGCAGATCGTAAATTGCTAAATCGCGAAGATCCTCGCGCGTAATCAGTCTGATGAAATCTATTCACTATAGAGAGATCATTGTATTCGTAAGCCATGCTCTTGCTATCATCGTCGATAATAATCCTTAGTTAGTAGCGCATCGTGAAGCACGAGACATACTTTTCGTCACGAACTTAGCGACATACGTTACTTCGTCGTGAATTATGCAATTCGCTTTTAGCGCAGAGATGATGATAAACGAGTTCTTTAAACACGCGTCGTATAATCTGCTAATTTTGAACGTAACATTTGAAATAAAATTGAAATCAAACGAACTGCTATATATAGAATTGTAATTAAACTTTTCTTAATTATGGATACTCTTCTATTGTTAATAATTACTTTTAAATCTTGGGAATAACTAAAGAAATACGAATATCGTAATAAAACAAAACCTCGATTGAGACTCTTAGATATACATACATGTAAAATAATGAGATGGATTTTTGAAATTAATATGCATATCCTATATGTGTATTTTACATTTTCAATAAGCGACGATACGCTCCACTGAAATGTTCGGACGAGGAGCGGTGTGCAATATGCTAATCTCCGATATTCCGGGGCAGTTTCTGGGCGCTTATCGATGCGGAGAGGATACAGTTGGAAATTTAGCGGGATTGTGCACACAGGATACAGAAGCTTATCGGGAGCGCGTCCTCTTTCGCATGCAGAGACTCCGGAAGAATTTCACGAGAGTCAGCAGGATCGATAGCGCGCGGGCGGCTCTGTGAGGCCTTATGCTAATGCGCCGTTCTTGTAATAAGGCCGTGTGCCAGCGTGAATAAAATACCGAACGAAGGAAAACAATGTTATCGGCTTCGCATAATCTCGCATGGCGCGGAGTTGGGCTCTTCTCATCTCGCACTCGAGATGAAGCCGCCGTTTCTCATCCAAATATGCGTGCTCCCGCAGGAATGACTGATCCACACAGTTGTTTGGGCTTAGCGAATTCACGAATCCGAGCACTGTCGAGCACCCATACGTTTACACATTATGTATGCATTCTAATTGTGATTGCTACCTCTCTGGTTTTCGATCAGAAACACACGACTTTTTAAATGAATATTCAGTTCTCCGACTAACCCATTCCAAATTTTGATACATGACAAGCTTTTTTTACGCGCACGCGTCTATTTTCTTCCGACTTATAAAAGATCTCTTATGATCTTTTTCTTTTTTTAGAAAATGCATTATAGACGGTAACATTTTTTTACAAAGACAGTGGAAATTTCGGCGGGGATTCATTGATTTTCAGTGAATCATGATACAGTCGAAAGCTAAGCAACTGTGTTCTAACATCATACTTACACGTATGTTTTTGTAAGCGATAGTAAGAGACAAGTGTTTAAGGAAAAGAGGGAGCAATTCTAATTCAAGCATAGTACTTTCTAAAAAGTTTTAATGTGAAAGCTCACGCTGAAGAGTGAAATTTCACTCTTAAAGATTGAAAATTGAGCCACTCTATATGTTAAGATTGACTCAATTTTTATTCTTTAAAAAAATTCCACTCCAAAGAATTCATAGAAATTCAGGAATAAAAGTAAAAATATGTTTCATATATGTATGTGATACAGATTAAAGTAGGATAACAACAGGCTCATTTTTATTTATATTTTCTAATTAAAAGGACAATTAATAAGACACGCAATGAATCTTAAAGAAAAATTAAAAACGCAAGAAGCGTAATGCCTCTTCCTTTTCTCTTCTTTTCCTACAATAATTTACAAAAAAAAAGGAAACATTTAATTCACCCTAAAAATCCGGGTACATTAAAGAGATTGTAAAAACAATCGCGTAATGTCTCGAGCTTTAGGATTAACTGTATCTTTTCCTTTATTCAATTATAAATAATGCCATGTGTTTTTATAAGATATATTACCTACTAACAATCTCTACAGACTTTTCCAATTCTTTTGTGCTGAGGCAGTCATTACACGTTTCGTAATAACATGACATAAGAAAGATATTGCTCTCACGTTTGCACCAGATAACGTACGTGTCTGCGATTTTGAGCGAATGTAACAAACGAAAGCCAAAAATCGAGATATAAAAGATTAAACAAGTTCCTGTGGTTCCGCGTAGCGAAGGATCTCGCGTGCTCGCTAGATCGTGTAGTCACCTCGCACTCAAATTAGACTAACGCCCGGAGTGTCGTTCGTGCAACTGTCTCGCGTGTGCAAAAATCTCCCGTACATGCAACAGTCATGCATTCGCATATTTTAATCTCACGCTAGACTCTTGTAGTCTGTTATCTCGGTTGGCCCTGGAGTCGCAATCCCTGTAGAAAAAAGCCAGCAAATCACAGCCTACTCAGCCATAAGTATAAAGCACGCCTACAAATTAACGTAAACGTTTTATATTTAACAAAAAAAATGATTAGAAACCGTTTTATTGAAAGTGATATTAATTTTTATAAAAGTTTTAACATTTTATTGGTCCTCCTTTTACTTTTATTACCGCTTTTTCCAGGAAAATACAATAAATTAAACGTGCTTTATACTTACGGCCAAGACTATTGCGAGCACTTATCCGGAGGAAATCGCGATTAAGATTTAATAGATTTTTACTGGGAAAAGGTTTGACGCAAATCGTATAGGAATCTCTAAATCGAATCTAAGAAAGTTCAGCATCGCTCGGTATAAATTCTAGAACATAGAATAGGAGCAAGAAAGGCTATCTCGCGAAATCCACGGCCGAAGGAAAGCGTTATCCGACACTATACGTAGATATATGTACGTTGTGGCAAACCATTCACCGAATTTTTTCGCTCTCGCGGTTTACTAAGTTTCCTTCGAAACGTGTTACGAACGGGTCGAAACAACGAAGGAACGTTTCGAAGCGCGCGCGCATCATCTTGAGAGTAAAAGAAGATGCCGTAATTGATGTAACAAGCTCCATTCACCATACCGGGGATAAGTGGGATCGCAAGTGCGTTCCATCCGAGCTCGCGGTTTACAGCGGAGGTTTACGATGAAAATTTCCTTCCGATAATTTCGCGCTGCGATCTTCGTTTACGGGGGTTACGCTTCTTCTTACGACGCGCGGTCTTTTAACAGAGTTTCGTCACGGGGATCTGTGAGAAAACGCTGGACTGTCTTAAAACGGAAACTCCACTAGCCTAGCGTAATTCTTACGAATTACATAATTAACGTCGCAGCGGAAACCGTAACGCATTGATGAATGAGACAAAATAACTGGATGCGCACGCGATTCCCTTTCTTATAATTTGTCGATACATCTTACGTTACAAAGCGATTAGAGCACATATCAGTTATGAGCTGCGATTTCCAAATTTTTCGTTAACTAGATTCTTGTTGATATTATCTGTCCAAACAATTTATACGTAAGCACATTAATAGGAGTAAAATGGAATGATTGATTTGTTAAATATACTAAATTCACTAAATCTGTAAACAAACCGACCGTAATTACTGGTAATTCTATAATTACAAATAAAGAATCAGTCAAAGATTCATATGTAATATTATGTTATACATTACATAGTAAAATGATATAACAGCATATTAGGTATACAATTTCGCTACAGACTCCTGAAAAAGATATAAGGGTCACGTCGCTTTCGTCCGAGGAATCAGAAGTGCAGGTACATGTCGATAGGCTTTATTCTCACATGTAACGTCTGAAAAGGCGAATATGATATTTTCAAAGTAAATCGGGTCACGCGAAGATTAGAGGAAAGTTTTTGTAGAGACATAGGTCCGATTGAGTTAACGTTACTTCGACTTTAAGCGAGGCTTAAAAGTCTCTTTCTCTCTCTCTCTCTCTCTCAAGCTGAAAGAGAGAGTTTTAAGCCTTGTTTAAAGTTAAATGTTGGAATGGTGCAATCGGACTTTAGAGACACTTACTCGTATTCGAACTATATATTAATATTTACTTTTCTATCCAAGACGTAATACTTGATTGTATCAGATCCGATCGTATCAAGATCGAGTTGTTACTGTATCAAACATGACATTAATTTTGATTATACAGGACATTAATTATAAATTCCGTTTAAAAAAATTTTATGCCGATTTTATTGATGATAATCGATAAAACATGAGTTTTCATTTAAATATAATTATGTGGTTATAGTATTATGTAAATTCTATTTAATTTATCTAATTAATATACAGGTTTTCACGTTTTTTATTAGATATTATTGTCTTCTTCCATGTTAATTAAAAAAATTAAATCATGAATTTATATATAGATTATAAAATACCACTTTTAATTTTGTATTCATCGTACAATATATGCATATTTACGGTGTATTTTAAATTATCCAACAATATCATAACTTTAATTTTTATCGTACACTATCACTAATTATTATGTACTCAAAGATCATATCAATTTCAAAGCGATTAATTCTGCACCTTTGTGACCTTAGATCCGCCGCTAAGTAGCGTAAAACGCGGCAGTCAAATAAATATACGTAACATTGATCTTAGATAATAATATTCCCGGAAATATGTATGTTACCCAAGTCAGTACTATTCAGGAACTACACACTGACGCTTACCCGTCACGTATTTCCACAACGGCTGAATTACTTCACCTTCCGCTATCTGCCTTATTAATCGCGAAAGTACAATCGTGTCTCAGTTCTGCGCTATCTAAGTCGGAAATAAATCAGTACTCACGGTAGGACACGTTGTGAAACACCGGTGGTCGGTTTTGAAGTGTCTTGACATTACATATGTATAAATACAACAAGAATTCACGTTTGGTGTTAATCGATGATACCGTTATTAAAACGGAATTATCTAAATATGTATTTTAAAAAGATGTTATCGACAAATTCGGCAATTGATTTGAATCTTTTGAGATTAGATAAGAAACACGTTACGTGCGCTTTAATCTTTAATTGT